ACTTATAGCATTGATAATAATTTTACAGCAAATATTCATTCATTAGTTAGCTAAGCCGCGTATATTTTGTTTTACCCACCATCATGCCTCGAGTTATCACTTGAATAATTTTTTTCCAAACTGTCCAGACAAATGTATATTTCTTTTTTCAATACATTTTTACATAAGATTCTTTATGCAATCCTTGTATCATTTTCTTTTCACCCTCTTACTGCCTCCTCTGTAGAGTGTGATCTTGTTCATCAACACTATAACATTATTATTTCGCCTGCCCACGGGCAAAGACTTTCAAAGGAATGATGAAATAACCAATTAGATTTGAATAACTTTAACTGTGCTACACATCAACAAATTGTGCACTATATGTAAATTACGGCTTCTTCTTACAGTGCGGAAACTAAGTTGATACTGAAAATCTGACATAAAAATGACCTGAATAACAATTTAATATGAGAAATTACATTCAATCTCGAGTTTAAAGTAATGAGATATAGATAGATATATTCTACCGAAAACTTTATTTTTTCGTAGTCTGGGAAAATTGAAGTTAGCAGTTATAAACTTAGTTTGAGATTGAAAAACTCAGTAAAATAAGTTGAGAATGAAGTATTAATATATGCGTAAAATACTCATTTGTTGAATGGTTTTATCGCTGATGAAAATAAATTTTGTTGTCATCAATTTCATACGAGTTGCAGATATCACGGTTATGTATATTTTATAAAGCCTTTTGTGTCACACCATTTTGGAATTATATTTTTTGAAAAAATTAATGAAATTACGTCATTCTTTTGAAAAATAAATTAGTTTTCCCAATGCGAGTTATCAAATGATTATGCCGATTTTAGATTTATAATAATATGATTCTTTTTTCTTTGAAAAGAATAAAAGCGTAAGAATTTTAGACTATGTAATAATACTTATGTCTACATTTTGAACTGTACCTACAAGGCGAAGTGCAACCAGTGTATCGGTATTTTACACCTGAACGGCATCTTACGTGCAACAGCAATAGGTTTACGAAGTCACAAAGCTAAAATCCGAAGTTCGATTCTCCGTGGTGGGCAGAGTGAAAATAGCCCTTTGTGTAGTTTTTCACTAATAAAACATTAACACCTTACGTATAAATGGGCTAAATACCCAGGTAAAATGCCCCCAAGTTCAAGTAAAGACATCTCTACTTTGACCTACGAATCAGAGGGAATTCAGCTCTGAGCTCTATAACGGGATTGTTTGTCATTTTTATAACAGCAGCCCGGCAAGATATAAAGAAACTCCTCTTAAGCACACAAGTAATTGTTTCGTAATTTATAAGGTAGATAAATGTGTAGGATATCCATTCCCTATATTTGTGAACATTTTGGAATATTCTGTCTGTCACCCCCCCCCCCCCCCCAAAGAGTCTAAAACTGTTATTCCAAGTTTCAAAAGTATATCAAAGTATGGTAAAATTAGGCCAATCGAATTTCAAGGTTTAGGAGACAGGTTCACAGCCTAACTATTTCTAGTCTAAATTTTATTTACGCATGTTCAAAAACCTTGTCTTCTAGTTAAGCAAAGCATGTAGTGTGAGGACATTTAAATTACGATATACAAACTCTAACATTAACCAATCTTCCTTTTTTTCGCATATTATTGCTGCCTGAAGAGCCCCAAATGGAAACATTGATAATGAAGATACGTGTCAGTTCTAAGATACTCTTGTCAAGGATTAAACGGTATTTTTTGTTTGTTTGTTTGTCAATGTATATCTTTTAGTTTTTAGACAACAGAATATGGCTTACTTTTGAAGCCCAGAAAAATGATTTTTCCCCTCTTTAACCTGGAAGGAAGAGTATTAGTGTTATGTGAACAGGGTTCAACAACTCACAGTATCTGTTCTTTGTTTTCTATCACTGTATACACAATTTCAAGAATAAAAAATACAAAACACAAAAAACGTAACAGAATATATAGCCTGAAACGTTTTAGAAAACACTACCATAATTACTTGGTTTTTCGAAGAACATTCTAGATCCCCTGCAATAAACCGGTTTCTAGATCTACCATGACGAAAATTTAAATATATATGTGATGAGTAAAATAGAGAACATTTCAGGATTATAAAACTTAACAAAAATTAATCCAACTTTATTTCATCTACAAGATAACTGCATATGTTGCAGCGCTACTACTGTGATAAGTTAAATAAATGAATAATACTGCTGTTTTCAACTGTGCAAGTCTTTCTAAAAAAATAAGTTGTTCTGTTTAAATCGACCATACCAGTAAATGATATAAAAATATCACTTGGTGAATCGGTCGCACTAATTCTACGTCTGTGTCTTTGTAAACAGTTTCCAGATACGGCAAGTGGTGTGAAGTGAACGCGTGGTAACAGATTCTATTGAAAGTCAAATTAATATAAAAACTTTCAGTGATTCTGCCGCTCTGAGCAGTTGCCTAATTTGCCTACTCGCTAAAGCCGGTTCTGTTATCATAACACTAATCTTTTGAAGAATACTGATGAAGAAAGAATTTATTTCAGATTTAAGAACTTTAATTTCTTGGAAACTTGATCAAAATTAATTAATATTTACAATTTTTATTTTATTTTCATGCTACATATAATGTAAAAACACTCCAATACACTGATAACATATTTCACAACTATATTACACAAATAGAAGTATCGAAGTTTTGCAATCAATAATGATTAATTTCTCAATTCTTTCCCTTAGGTGATTGATAGCTTGGTGAAAATTACTGATAATTTCTAAAATTCTTTAACAATGATGTCTTAGATAGAGTATAAATCAAGACATTTCGTTCTAACAACGTCTAAACCTGCTACGTTGTCACTTTGAACAAAATTAATGTACAGTGCTCCATCTGGGGTCAATAAAGACTTCTAATTCTATACTTGACATACATTTTTCAATGAGACAAGCTACAAACTTATTTTATTTCACTACATCAGCACACGATCCTATAACTTTCGTTCCAGAAATAAAGTTATAACCAGTTTTGTTGTAATTGATACAGTGTTTATTTGTACAGAATAAGCAAATGATTCAATGTCAAGAAAAACCACTTTTATGGCTAATTACGAAGAAAATCAAGAAAAAAAATAATAATGGAAATTTAAAAAAAATTTCCAAGAAAGTTATATCGCATTTGATACGTTAATTCTAAAAAAAAAACAAAAACGAATGGTTCCAAAAGATCGACATAGATAATACTTAATCAATGAATAGAGATTAGTGAAACGTAAAAACAGCGTAGAGCAAGATGTAAATGTTTTGTTTTCCTTTGGCAAAATTTATGAATTTCCAAAATTCCGTATATTTTAAGTGTGACGTAGAGACTACTAGTAATTAGAGTAAAATCTAGTAGTTTAACGCGCCGTTAATTCTAAATTTCAAAATCGGCTTAACATTTAAAATGGAAATTGGTAGTTAAAGTTTAAATCGTAACTACATAAGTTCGAAATTCCTTTCTTTCTTGGCCTGGTATGTCCTTGGTAGTTAGGGCACTGGACTCCAATCTGATGGTCGCGGGTTCGAATCCCCGTCACACCAAACATACTCGTCCTTTCAGCCGTGGGGATTCTATAATGTGACGGTCAATCCCACTACTCGTTGGTAAAAGAGTAGCTCAAAAGTTGGCGGTGGGTGATGTTGACTAGCTGCCTTCCCTCTAGTCTATCGCTGCTAAATTAGGGATAGCTAGCGCAGATAGTCCTCGTGTGGTTTTGCGCGATATTCAAAACCAAACCTTTCTGCCTTACCCACTGAAGCATGAAAAAAAGTAAATACTCACAAGTTAGCAAAATACGTGAAACCGACATCAAATGAAAGATACGTTTAATGTCAGTTGTAGCACGGATACCTCTGCATTAGATGAACGGTCCATCAGTTCCGACTCAAACAGTTGAAGGTTACGACCCACGCCTCCATTCACAACACTACTTACTAGTCGTAATATAACCCAGTTTCTTCCTTATAACCACTAATATATAAATAATGTTGACAAACAGTTAAGTAGCCTTTCTTTTTCTATCCACTGAATTATGCGTAACACAAGTCAGTACTACACAAGTGAATTGTTCTTCTGAATTATCCACCTGTAAATCTGTGATATAAACATGACAGATAAGTGGACTTTCCTCCTTACTACAATCGAGTGCACAGTGAATTTTAAAGAATCTGACAATGTAATACTGCCAAGGTTAGACTTATGACTAGGTATTAAAAGCCGTTTTAAACAGAAATATTCAAACAGAGGATTGTTAAATAGTGTATAATCAAAGATATGGCATTTCAAAAAAAAGAAGCCTTCAATGTTCTGCAAAACCACACATCAAGCCAATCCACAGCAATGCCCTCATCTGCAAGTTGAAAGTCATGATTACAAAATGAGTCCTTTAGCTCAAAAAATTACTAGAATGAAGCTGGACCTATCTCCTGATACAAGACATTGGCAAAGCTTCCAGCCATGCCTTTAAATCGATGACTGGTTTCATGAGAAAGATGCTGAAGAAACAAGAATCATTACAGTTCCAAACATCCATATACTTTTCAAGTCCCCTAATGCAGTTCCAACAGCTTTTTTGTACCTTCAGCCTGATGAAAAGTCAACATTCACACACAGTGGAGGATCTATGGAAAGTATGTCTACATGTGTAATTTAAAAATTGACCTTGCTATTCTTTGCAAAAGCTTGTTACAATGGAAACAGCAAATTTTAGCAGTAGTTCTTACTTATAGATATTAGACTAAGTACAGTCAACCATTAGTAACGAATGAAGAAACTTCAAAGGCAGCAGAGAACCTGGAACATTGATCTTCTAACATGCAAGTAATACAGATGTAAAAGATAAGTGGACTTTTTTCCTCACAAGTATACCTGTTTTTAAATTCAAGCAAATGTCATTTTATTTCATATTCACTTTATTATAATGATTACACTGAAAACCTAGTAAATGTCAAAATGGGCAAAAAAAAGGAATAAAAAGAATCTTCACAATCAAAATTTACTGTCCTCTGATAAATACAGAATAGGCTTAATATGAAAAACTAAAAATCATAACATCAACATCACTTCCATAAGTGGTCTGTTCTAGTACTGTACAATTTATTGTTTAATCCCGATTTCTGAGCATATTTGTACTTAACGTTTTAATTTTTCATTATTAAACATATAATAGGTAAATATCAGTACCAAAACTAACACGTAAAAGAAAAAATATACATACCCTCCTAATCTTAAATCTAGAAAGCAATTTAAACTAATTAAGTAAATTATGCTTGTTATCAAATGCAATAATAAATAGAAAAAAAACAAACATTTATTACTTCATCAGTGAGAGTCCTCCATATAAAGCAATGCTCCTTTTGTTTAAAACTATACAGATTAACCATAACTGTACTGTGAAATTACAACGGATTTATTCATTATGGTTAACTTGATCCGTTTGAAAATCTAAGCACTATCATTTAATAGGTCTTATCTGCATCTATTTTCAATACTTTACACTGTTAAACTTCTCTCCCAGTTCAAGTTTACTATTTCACTTTCTTGCCAAGTAAAGAAACTGAAACTGATTTGTCCTGTGTACAACACACCACCCAGTCACAACTCTCATTCAGATCTAACTTGTGTGTAGTACACTGTTCAGTCAAAAACCTCATCTGAATCTGATCTCTGTGTTTAACTCATTGTCCAGTTTTTTCAAATGAATCTAACCTATATGTATAACATTGAACATACAAAATGCTAACCTGAATCTGTTTTATGTACACAACAGCAGTCCACTCAAGGATAACGCCTATATTTAAATAAGGTGTGAAACACACTGCTTACCTTAGAACATACACAGTTCATACAAGGTGGCACAACAGTGAAATGATTCATTACAAAAACATAATTAAAAAGTATTCAATACTAACATACACTACACTTTTCACAACCAAACAATAGCAGAGAAAATTATTTTAAATAATGCTCTACAATGCATTAGTCCATACATGATCAACTGAAAGAGAAAAATAGTGCAATTATAATTGAAAGTCAAAAATAATAATTTTATTAAACATCATTCTTTAAAAAAAATGAAAATTATTAGTGATATATTGGGGTAAACTGCCTATTATTATTTTCATTTTTCAGCCAAAACTGTAAAGATATTTCTTCTTACTACATTTTATTATTCAATTTTTTATGCATTCTTTTACTTTGTTTTTTTTTTGAGTAATATCACAGAACAATAATGCCAAATTTTTTTTTAATTTCATACAGTTTTTAATAAAAAGCTACAGAATATTTTAGTATGGAAATACTTTATGTGGAAAATATAAATGGGGCCAATTTTTAAGTGAAAAATTCACCTAACAGTTTCCCAAATGCACTATTATTCTTAGTTGATAAAGCTAAGTACCATAGAAGAAACCCTTCCTTCAAGAAGGCTGAGTAAATTCAAGTTAACTACTGAAAGAGTGGCTTAAAAGTAACCTTAACAGATAGAGAGATTTGCCATGAAACAAACAACTACTCAAACTACAACAAAAGAAAATATCAAAATGCAGGAAGAAGTATATTTTCTTTCCCAAAATAATTACACTTTAAAATCATATCAAATATATTTTACAATAACTAAAGCATGCTTTGCAGAATTCCCACTCTCAAAAATGAGATGTTTTCCTTCAATTTCCCAAATTCACAAAATCAAAGGAAAAAAAAAAAGTGTTTGCAGTGGTTTTTCTTACCAGTCTATGGAAATACTTTTTTAGTAAAATTAAAGTTTTGTTCATCATAAACATAGGAGGATGAATATCGTTAATCATACAGTGGGTCTTAAATGGCTACACAACTTTTTTTTTGAACAGTAAAACATTGAGTCTCTCAAGTCCTACAACTTTTGTAACAACAGAGAATGCCCATGAGAGAGTTGATTAAAACTGTAAGACCCTAGCACATCCTTTTTCAGTTTTAACAAAGATTTATTACCACAATCCTACCATACACATATTCCAAATATGAAATTCATGACTTTAATTATATGTAATTATTTACTCACAGATAAATTTAAGTATACGTGATTCAAGTAAAAAGATTTAGAAATTCTAAGCCATTACAAATTTTGCCTAGATTTCTAAGCTTTTCAATTGCTTTCATTAAATTAGTCAAACCCTGACCACAAGAAAGTACATAGAATATGACCAATGTTTCAATATTTACTTCAAAATACTTATACAGCAAATTCAACTAATTTCCCTTTCATTGAGTAAAAATACTGTTTTCAAAAGTGAAAAAAACAAAAAACAACAACAACAGCAATATTGCCACTTGATTTTATATACCCTATAAATAATATCCCTGGTAGACCCTTTCAGCTAGCAAATATTGTTTTATCAATTATCAAGAGAGCCATAGCTCTTATTGACATTTAAAGGGTAGTAAAAAAATGACTCGGTACATCAGCATGATTAATTTTGTTAGATTTAAAAATTAGAGAAAGCCTTAAAACCTTGTTATTTCTAACCTTGGGGGTCAAAAGAACTTCCAACCTGTTTTTATATATATGTGGCTTTAGTCTGATTCAGAGCAACTCAAGTCTTGAGCTCACTATCAAAAATCAGATTTTCAAATGTGATTTTGGTATGACTGGTTTAAATATTTCATGTGGTCACTGTTCAGGACAATGTCTACTAGGTTTATTTTATTCTCTTAAACAATGACCATTTTGAAAAAGAATGATTTAAATATGCAGTTCAGAATTCATGAAACTAGTCTTGTCTAAGAAAATGTACAGCTAAAAATACACTTGTGACCACTCCTCAGAATGACATACTTCAGATGTGGACTTTGATTCAGGGCTTTGAGGATCTTCCAGCTGTTTCAAGATACGGTTGAAAATTTCAGGCTTTAACCATAGAGAACCCAAAATGCTATCTTCCATGAAAGTATTTGTGTATGACCCTGTTTCTTCTGTGTTAGGAACTGAAAACTGCTTGTCCATTTTTGTACCTGGAAAAATATACACATTTTCATGACTATAAAAATCTACTGACAAATGATGTTGTTTTATCATAATTTAGAAAACTTCCATTTAAAAGCACAAAAAACATTAACCACCACAAGTAAGACCAAAGTAAGCTTTATGAAAGTTAAGAGTTTTTCCTGTTCCTTAATAATAAGAGCTTTCATTTCTAAAATTTCTTGTCACTGTGTTAAGTATCACTACTAAAAATCTATATTTTTTATCTAACTTATTATTGGCTTACAAGACACTTAAGCATAAGTCCATTCTGTGTATCAGCAAAAATAATAATTCTTAACATTACTATTATATTTGTTTAGCCATATCAGGGACAAATGTTTCTACTGTACATATCTCAAGTAATGGTAAACTTACATACACCATATAATTATACTAGAATTGTACCAAATTGAAAATTTTAAATGCATTGTTTTAATTTTCCTGATGTCTGAACAGGCACTTTAGTGGACATTATAATAAATATCAATAGAAATTTCAATTACCAACACATTGATACAACAAAGAAAACATCCAAACAAATGTAACACATTGAATACAGAATTTATTTGTATATCATTAAGCACAAAGCTACACAATGGGCTATTTGTGCTGTGCCCACCACGGGAATCAAAACTTAGTTTTTAGCATTATAGGCCTTCAAACTTACTGCTGAGCCACTGGGAAGGCCTAGGTATAGAATGATTAGAAAATATTAATTTTTCACAGGCTGAAGCAAGTGATACAACTTTGAAAGTATGCAGAAAAATCTCAACACAATATGGAGTTCTCATAAAAAAAATTACGTTTACATCTAGTACAAGCTAGCTGATGCAGTTTTAAGCTTACATACTTGAAAAAGTTTCCTACATTTGATACAAAAATGCAACCAATTGTTGTCAGAGTGCATTTCTTTCATCATGTTAGAAAAAAATTGATTTCAATAAGATGTTATATATGCTCATATCAGAGTTGGATGAAAATTTATTCAAATATAATGATAGCTATGATAAAATCCCTTATGATACATTCTTGCCACATCATAACCAAGATGTGCTTACCTCCATTTTAATCACAGTTTATGTTAGTTACTTATAAAATAGTTACAGAAGAAAGATGGATATTCATTAAAAAATATGAAAGCATATATTATCTCATATCATAATAGATGGTATGTCATGCATGTCATTATATTTCCTTATGGTAGCCTATATTACACTATATTCATTTGAAACAAACTTTGGCATTATGTAATCTGTTCAGCATTTGAATAAATCTACAGTATCATCAATTAGCTGTATAACATTATATACTATTATTAGCAGAATCCCAGTTTTGAGCAGTTTATGAAATACATGCTGTTCATGTAGTGATGGAAAAAGAAACTAGGTAACAGAAAACAAATCAACATGAGCATAGCAGCCAAATGTCCTTTTCTGATCAAAACTGGAAATATCAGCCACATTCTCGGTGACCGACCCGATGCTGTGTCACAGGAGATCCGTAGGGAGCATACCTTTGATGCCACATACTGTGACTGGAGTTTAAACCGTGATAGATTATCATTATGCTTGAAACAGAACAGGATATAACTGCCAATGTCTAAGGGGTCTTCGTAAAGTTAAGCTGATAATTGCCAAAGGGTTAAATCATGAAGACAGTCACTTAAAAATATGTGGAATTGAGGTAATCTAATAGAAGTAATATGCAGAGATACAGCATGTTTTATCTATCTTTTCTTGCTCTACTATGTTCTGCAACAGAGTTGATTAATTGAAAGTAAAAGCATTTTCTGTGCAAGTCTTCCTTCCTCCTCTTGTGTGTTGATCACTGTTAGTCAAAATGACTTTTCTATTTCTTAATACTCCCAGTTACAGACTCAACTACCCAGCTGACCTTACTTTACCAATGAAAATGATATGCTTCCTCTGTTGGATTCTACCTTTATTCCTTTATTTTGCTACTCAAGTTGTTGTGGAAACCTTGATCAACAACTAATATACCACCCTTTTAAACTGTTTTTTCACCATTCTGCATTTCATGATATCGTACTATTCAGAGTGGCGGCATCACTGCCATCAGCAAGTTAAAACTTCAAGACATCAAGGATGTATCCATCTGTATCCACAATTTCCATCAGCATTACAACAGGCATGGGTTTGTGACCACTATAGCTTCTGATGTAAGACCCCATTCTTAACATTTAACAGTTATTACAGAAATGTTTTTTCCATTAAGACTTTATATTTTATGTTACTTCCTTTACCCTAACTCTATACTAACTCAGATGATTTGAATAACCTTGTAATGACCACGAAAAAATTAAACAAATCATCTAAATTACTCTTTTGTTCTTTCTAGAATGACTAAGGATTGTAACAGAAAACTACAACTGTTTATCCTAAATAGATTAAGGCTCTTAACATCTGTTTCTATATAATTTTATTGTTTTATTGCCCTTTGAATTGTGTATAACTAATAATCCCACAATACAGGCTATAAATCATTCCATAAACGCATAGCTCAAGTTACAGTACTAAATGATATAACATGAGCTACTTGTGAACATACCTATAAGAGTAATTTTTCTATTATCCCTTTTCATTATTTCACCTAATATAACCTTATCTAACCTAACAAGTTTCTAATTTTTACATTTTAGTTACTTTTATAATGAATAAAAAACAAGAAATCTAGCTACTTTTTTTGCAATGATGGTATTAGTACATTAAATAATTACTATTTACTTTAAGTAAGCACTTAAGAAGACAATATAATAACATACAAAAAACAAACAATGTCCTTTAACTATTATAATTTAACTGGCTTTCTAATTAAGGCCTTAAAATCATTCTCTTAGCTAGTTGATTCAAATGCAGCAATAGCAACTTTCAGTCTGTATGCGAATCAAATAAAAATCGCTATTCAAAACAATGTAGCACTATAGGTCATTTATAGGTCAAACTTTCTCTTTCTATTGATTATAAATAATATAATACCAAACACTGGAGAGGATTATTGAAAATTTGTGAAAAAGAGGATGTGATAGGTGGAAGTGACTAGTGGATCTGACTTTCCAGTTTATACTTCTATATACAAAAAAGATTGAAGGCTATAAATATTAAACTGTGACTTAATATCTATACTATAGTGAGTAATTTACATTAAACTCAACACATCAGAGAGAGGTGATGAAAAAATAAGAGGATGTTTAAGTCAGAGCATACAAATGTCACGATAAACATACACTTTGAGAATATATTTAAATACTACCTTTTAAAATTAAAAAATTAAAACTTATATAAATTCAAAACTTGATTTATTAACAATATTTTGATGCCATGTTATTTGTATACATTGATAATAAAATAGTTTACTTTTGAATGTATCTCTGACCTACCCATAGAGAAAGGGTTAAAGGTGCTACACCAGTGCAGCAACTCATATGGAGTATTTTGCTATCAACTGTGTGTTGGCTCTAACTATCCACTTGCTTTCTTTATATCAGCAGCCAAGTAACAAAGAGCAAAAGTTATATGTTTCAATCACATTTTGTGTCACATATCTTCCACCACAATCCAATGTTTCCAAAAACATTTTGCATTACTTCATATGCACAAACTTCTCTACAAAGGAACCATTTCAAATCAGGTCATATACTTTTTTTTCCTGTATATATGCCAAGTTAAAGCAAGACTTTGGAGCATATTACCATCAGCATGACACGAAAAATATTTTTTGCTACTGTTTATAACAGATAATAGGTTTAAGGTTGCCTATAGTCACTGAAACCACATTACCATTGTACTGCATTGTTTTTTGACATAGTGGGTCGTTTTAAGCAGTCAATGTTAGATGTCATGTCAACATCTATGTCTTCTAGTACAAAAAGTGATTGTCATAGTTCAAAGAATTTTAACACTGATAAATATATATAAAACAGTGAAATATAAGGCAAAGATATTGTTCAAATATAAGAGATGGTTAACTGCACTTTATTTGTATGGTATATATATATATGATATGATATTGGTGTTTTTTTCTAAAGCTTGTTACAATGGAAATTGTAGTGTCAGGTAATAGTGCATAATTGTGGCCATCAAACTAAGTACAATCAACGACGGGAAGGAAGCAATAACAAAACAGATGTTATTCAAGAAGTAAAATGGATAGCTTTGTTTTAGGACAACTAATAAACAAATGGCATGCAGTATGCTTCAGAAACACTTGTTTATTTTACACAGTTATAATGGAGATATAAGTAATATGAAAAATAAAGGTTGATCTTAGTATTTTCTCACCTAGTTTTTGATAAAACAGAATATAAGCAGTGGTTTGGTCCTCCTCTTGTGGTGCCTGTTTTTTAGTTACTTCATCGTTGAAATGGTGCCACTGGCCTGATACAGCATGTCTTGTATAAGCAGTGTAATGACCTGAGCTAACACCTTCAGAACAAGAAAAAAAAACTGGTTTGTCAAGTGACATACTGAATAAAAAAAACTGGTTTGTCAAGTGACATACTGAATAAAAAAACTGGTTTGTCAAGTGACATACTGAATAAAAAAACTGGTTTGTCAAGTGACATACTGAATAAAAAACATGATTCCTCTAGTGTAAAATGAGGAACAGTTTTGGGTAGGAATAGCAGTATAACAGAAGTTAGTACTGATACAATAAACATACCACTTAAATAATACATTTATGTACATACAGAACATAAAAACAAATAGATGCTAGTTATTTACACTGATGTATATATGTTATTGTGCAATCCCAACTGCCATCTTTGAAACCAACATTTTCATATACAAAGATGATCTACAAAAGAACAAAGTAAAATAACACAAAGATACTTGCTATCATACAATCCCAACAGATTACTGTGAACACAACATTTTCACACACAGAAACAGATGATCTATAAAATATAGATACAATCCTGACCGACTACCATGAACTCAATATTTTCATACACAGAAACAGATGATCTATAAAATATAGATACAATCCTGACCGACTACCATGAACTCAATATTTTCATACACAGAGATGATTTGTAAAAGAATAAATTAAACTAATAAAAAGACATGCTATTATGCAAACAAGACTGACTGCTGTGAAGTCAATATTTTCATACAGAGAGGCAATCTCTAAAAGATTAAAAGTAGAATAGTGAGAGTTTACAACTACAACCAAATGTACTTCCAACAGAAAGTAAATAGCTTACTCAATAGCATTACTTAATACTAAGAAAGGGTCTATTGCTTCATTTTAGCATTACTTAATACTAAGAAAGGGTCTATTGCTTCATGTTATTATTACTTAATACTAAGAAAGTGTCTATTGCTTCATTTAGTATTACTTAGTACTAAGTGTCTACAGCAACATCTGAGTGACCCACCAAACAGTACAGAAAGATCTACAGCTTCATGTTATTATTACTTAATACTAAGAAAGGGTCTATTGCTTCATTTAGTATTACTTAGTACTAAGTGTCTACAGCAGCATCTGAGTGACCCACCAAACAGTACAGAAAGATCTACAGCTTCATTTGATTAGGTTATTAAAAAATAACTGAATAAAAATACAGCTTCAAATAGCATGCTTAGCCATCAGTAACAGAATGTTGGTACAACTCTATCCGAGTGATCAACCTTGAATGAATGAGTGAATCAACAGTCCCACTTTAAGTGTCTTGCTAAATGCTTTATCTCAGTGTCCTAACCAAAATAAATTAAATGGGTCAACAATCCTAACCAAAATAAATTAAATGGGTCAACAACTCGAATTCTATCCAAGCTCCCAATTCCACAATAACTTTATTTACAGCTATGTTTGAATAACTGACCATACAAAATCATGGGTCTACAGATTAACACGGTTGCCTCAATTCTGAGTGTATACAATACTAAGTGTAATTCTCTGGTTAATCATCTTATCCCACAAATGAATGGATAAGCAAATCACCATGAGAGCCTTACTCAATGGTCAAAATTTCAATTAATTATCTTATCAAAACAAAGTACAAAAATATTTGACTAAATTAACTTAACCAAGAATCGGGATTGTTCTACAGTTTCGCCCAAATCTCAAACAGGAAGGATTGGTTTACAGTTTTCACCCAATTGTCTTTCTCAACAGTAAGTGTAAACTCTGCACTGTTTTATCCAGCAATACATCTACAACCCTATGTTGGTATCACACTAGCCACAAAATTTTCTTCTACTTATCCACCACTGTTCATTCTACCTAGCAGTATTTGAATAATTCTGTGACTCCATTTGACTCAAAACTAACCTAAAAATTAACATAGTTCTAAATTTCTGCTTTTCTTACCTAAAAATAAAAATAGCTCTACAATAACATTTAGTTTCAAACCAAGTTATTCTTAGTTTAGAGAGGTGATAAACCCAAATGTGTAAAAAACTGATATGTTAAGAAAAACAGGTAAAAAAAAGGACAACACATACCACCAAAATGACAAACACAAGCTTGTAAATTGTAAATGTCACTTGCAGAGCAAGGACCTGAAATGAAGTCTGTTAGGTCTAGGCCTTCCAAGGGAAACCTCACCCGATCATCTACCTTAATGCTAGCAAACTCTGAGAAAACAAATCTGGAATAGAAGAATCAATGTTAGTGCGGCAAATAAATCCAAATGAAACATAACCTTTAGATAACATATAAAAATCAGTTTATTTGGAACAATGGCTACAAAAATGTTTATGAGAATTAAAAATAATATTTCTTTTTTGAAACATTATATTGTAAAGCTTATTGATTCAACTTACAAATCTTACAAATAGGACACAGTAATTATCTTAAAACTTTGTGCCATTGTTTTACCATTATATACAGTATGCAAACAAACACATCAATTCAATACTTAATTACAAAAATAAAAAAAATTAAGTACAAATGTTACATACAATCTTCGAATTAAGGAAAAGCTTTTATGAGAAATTATCTTTCATTTTATCTGAATTTACTATATCATGTGAGAGGCATATACATAACACTGACTTCTTTAGTTTCATAGCCAGAATAACAGTCAAATTTTTACCACGTTTCACTTAATATTTCTCAGTTGAAATATATTTTTTAAAGCTTACTGAAGGCACAAGTCAATCTATTTTCATTAGACGATAAGGAAAAGATGAATCATTACATTAAACACCACTATTAGTAGATACTCAGTGTGGCATATAACAAGTTCAAAAATGTATAACATTAATTAGACTAAAAACTGACAAACCTCTTTAAATAAACCATTAGAGTATTAGGACTTCTCCAAACTGACAATGACTTCCTGGCTTGTTGATGTTGTTGGCACATTGGACAAAACCATGGATTGTCATCATCAAGCGTTTCACTAAAACAAATTTAAATTCCTGAAACCTTTTTTTTTTCATATTTTCCATTGCTCTAACATAGTTACAACTACATCAATGTCATAAAGAATCTAGGTAAGATTAGGAAATGCTTAGTTACAGAAATATAGTGCAGATATGAACTACCAATTCAAATGGCTGTTTTCAACAAGCCAATCATAGAGAAAGACCCAACCCATCTTACCTCTCACTACAAATTACAGTTTTTCACTAGAACTTTCTTCACTGATATATGGTAGCACATACTATGCTTATCTCTACAGAGCCAGTAGCTTATAATAAAGTGTACGTGTCTAAACATACTAAGGTGAACGAACAGAAATCTGGAATGGCATCATCCATGAAAGCAGTAGGCCTAAACTGAAAGCAGAATAATAACAATTTTCAGAAAAGTATCAGTGAAAGACTTGTTGAGTGATTTGTTATATAGTGAAGATGCTGAGGATCATCGTGAAAATATTGCAGTGGTGAATCTAATTGGGCAGAAAACACAGATGATAATGTCAAGTCTAAGTCCTAAATCAACTCATTTCCACTTTACTGGGATATTTTGTGATAGTGTACACATACCTCACTCTCTGTCTTCATTAAGCCTTAAGTCGTGTAAAAGACTGGAAACTAACCAATGTTTACTGACATGTACGTGTGCCTAGCAGTTATTATACTACAAGAAATTCCCCTTTCTGGACTACAGATGTAACTGATATCTATTGATTTTTTTTCCTTCTCATAATGGAAATACTTAACCAAATTATATTAAACTTACTACAATGTTACTAAATAGTATCTAGTTTTGGCTTTAAAAAATTCATGAATTGATTAAATTTTTTTTCATTAATTTTCCAAAATTTTGATGTGTGATGTTTTTGGAAAAACATTCAAAACAATTCTTTTTAATTTAGAATATTTTTTTTTTATTTTTTTTTATTTTTTTGTTTGTTGTTGTTGTTGATCATAATGCTCAATTTTATATATCCAATCAACACCAACTTTTTGCTTTTCACTAACATTTTTTTTAATACTTTATTTACCAATTCCAGTAGTCACCACTTCTGGCTAAGTCAGAGAAAATACCAAACAGCCAAAGAATAATGGTGACCAAAAACTTAACCTTTCAAAATGGTGCCGGGTCAGGTTAGATAATATTTTATCTCCCAATCTTAGTCAAAATCAATTTATATCCAATAAATATACTTTGTTCACAATAAATTTTAAGTTTTTTTGTTTATATATATATATATATATATATATGCATTGTTTGAATACAATAAACATAATCTATAATGTTCAATAAATAAAAATTTGGAGTCACATTTGAGTCACCATACTCTGTACCCGAGTTCTAGTCAAGGAGAAAAAACTGCAATAACTTTCAAAGAAATGTAAATTAACACTAAAAAATTTTCAGAAATGAAATTAACATCTCAAGAAACTACAGAAAAACTCCCGTATCTGAGGTTTGTTCCTATTTTCTAAACTTCAAACTATATTTTATTGTTGTTCTGTGTGTAAGCTAAATCTGATCAATTTCTCAAAAAAGCATAAATTACTTCTCATGTCACTTCACTCATTTTGCAATGACATAAATAGTTTATAATCTGCTCTCTCCAAAGGTATTTAAAACTTTATCTATAGCTATTTTCAAAGTGGTTCTTCATTAGTAGTTGTTCCCACCCATTTATGACACAAGATCTAATTGTATTCTCATGTAATGATAGTTTTTTTTAGCAAAGAAAAATCTATGCTTTATGACTGGCAGAAAAATTCTAAGAACAAAATCAATAAGAGTATTGTTTACAGGTAGGACTCCTCAGAGCTTAGCAGAAAGAAAGTTTCAAAGTTTGAAAATTTTTCTTTGCAAATTACACAAAATAATTGTGATAAAATATCAATTCTAAAATATTTTGGAGTGAATAATTTTTGAAATATAGAGTAAAACTTATTATTTTTAACTTAAATATTAAAATATAATATGCAGGTGTACAATAAACACCTGAAAGTTGCTCCGGTCCAGAAATGATTAATGCCAGTCTTATTCTCATACACTGGACAAAACAACAACAACAAAAACTTCCAACCCTGTTTTCGGAGAATACATCTCTAAGAATGCTTCATCTGATTTCCAAAGTTTTCCACATTGTGAACAAGAACAACATATACCAAACAACCATACTTCTTGAAAACTTTCCAAGAAGTAACCTGTGTTCCATTATATTTCTCACAAGTTTCGGAATAATTATACTCAATGAACCCCTGCTCCCCACCCCCTTCTCATGATACAACCACTGGTAAAAAGCGTTTTGCTTTTAAATGGTCATCTTTGTTGGAAGCACTGTATACAATTAGAGGTCAAACTTGAGGATAGTTTTTCATGTTGTACAAACTACTCACTAGATATGTAACAATGATTATTTTTACCAGAAAGGATACATTTGAAGACAATTCTCATACTATTCAGGTAGTGATGACATTGTTAGAACTAATCTTTACAAGAATTATTATCATACTGCTGACATATTAACAGTGGTGAAGTGGCATTTCAGAAGGGAAAAAGTTATGACAATGAAGTGAAAGGATATTTACATTTAATTTACTTAGTTCATAATGTATTAATGATTACAGTATCAAGCAAGCATGAAGCAAATAGGATCAAATCAGCTGTGGTTCATGTCTGTAGCCACACTATGGATAGTGCAAACAAAACTAACCATATTGCCTAATTATGAATGCAGAAAAATAGAACAAAATGTCATTATAAAAATAAAAACATTTAGGAATCTTTATGATCAGTGCATACACAATAGTTTTATTATACATTCTACAAGACAACAAACACAAATTTCTACTCAAACTCTGCAAGCACTTTGTTATGAAAGTGTTGAAGAAGCATTATGATGTTACAAAAATCTTGACATGGACTCTGTTTGGCTAACTATATGGCACTTCCCTGATCTTATTCCAGTTAATGTCATGAAGAAAAAAGCCCACATGAAGATTTATGGTGTGTTTCTCAAAGAAAGATAAAAAAGGAAGGAACTTCAAGAAAGAAACCAGAGTTTGGTGTGAAGGTCATGGAGTATCAATCAATTTGTGTCATTCCATGTTTCAAGTTATACTACAAAAACAAAAAAACTTACAAATGATCAAATGGGAAACAAACTTACCATTTCATATTACCTCAACAATCACAGATTTTATTAGAAAATTCTAAAAAGGGCACATACTTAAATATCCATATACACAGTATATCAAAACATTTTTGATAAATTAATTACAGGAAAAACAGAAAAACAACATATTAAATTCAATAAGATAGCTCAAAAAATGACAAAATATATAAGTACACACTGACTTTGTCTAGAAAGTGAAGTTAGCACCAATGCTTTAGCAAGTTAACACACTCCTTAAGGGTATAACTGATCACAACCATTTATGCGCATATATGTCATTCATCACAATTTTATAAGTTAAACAAATGGAACTAGCTTAGAGTCTAAAATAAGCCATGAAACATAAATGTTTAAACTGTCATGAGAAATACTTCTAAGCTACAAAAGAGAATTTAAGAGATATGGTTTGTAATATTAAACTGTGAGAAATTAAAGTGTTGAGAGTTAAATTATACTTTGCTTTTTTGATTTTCACTGATCAATCAAAATAAAAATAAAAAAAGCAGATAAAAATAACACTTGTACTGCTTTATTGGCTAATGAAAGTAAAGTCAAACTATACTGATACTTCTATTGCCTGATACATTAGGTGGCAAGTAAGCATAACAGTAATAAATTTAAACTAGTAGCAGATAAATGTAGTGATGATTGTATTTTAGACTAAACAAACAAAGCTTAGTTCAAAAGTAGCTTGTGTAACCAAATAATCGGGCAAAGCTATGCAAAAGCTACCTGCATTAGCCATTTCTAATTTTGAACTGACAGACTAGGTGGAAGGCAGTCCAATTCTTGGGTTACTCTAATCAAATAATGAGACTTTACCATCATTCTGACAATGTGCTCTCATCCCCAAGCACAGGATTCTAGTTTCTGGTGACAGGATGGGAATCATATACCCTTGAATTCATAGTTGGCAGGTCAACCACTTGGTCACACCTAGCCCATGAATTAATTGATGACAGTAATATTGTCTATAAATTGGTGTCAAATGAAATTGGTTTAAAAAAAAAAAGAGTATAATAGACCTTCAGTAAGTAGATTTTATAGTGACAGTGCTACTGGCTATTAAACAAACAGATGAGTGTAGCAGTCATAATACTTTTGGCTGCCAAACTAAAAACAGATAAAGTAGCAGCAACAATGATATTACCTGCTATATTAATAGCAAGTGAATGTAGAGTCAATATGGTTATTGGTAGGTAAACTAGAAACAATTCTAATGGATGCTACACTGTAGCCTGTGGATGTAACTGTGATAGGTCAATTGGCTGGTAAACAAGCAAACAGAAGATATAAAAGTTCTACTAGCAACTAAATTAGCAATATTTAAGAGGTAGAGTACAATTAGTCCTTACAGTAATGGTAGTTGAAGGCAGCCACAACAGTGTTATTTGGTTGTTAGGGTGAATACTACAATGTTAGTGGCAGAACAGTGTAGTAATAGATATATCAGCTACTAGACTAGCACCAACTTGATATAACAGAAATACGACTACTGGCTGCCATACTTATTAAAGGCAGATAATTAAGCAATCAACCTTTCAATACTTAAAACAACAGACAAAATGCCACTGACTAGCAAACTGATAGCAGATGAAGGTACAGTAGATAGAGCTATTGGCTGCTAGATTATAAGCAGATAATGTAGCAGCCATCAGTGTACTACCTGAAAGAATAGCAGTACTTCAATACAAAACAGACTACTGCTGGTTACTGAAGTACTGGTATAAGACATCGAAGTCACTGGGCTGCTATTGGCAGAAGGTGAATGTACCAGTGAGAGTGCTATTGGTTGCAAGGAGGATAGGAACAGGAGAAAAAGCTAAACGCGACCACATCACCATATTTAATAATCACATCTAAAATTACTATAAGTCAAGATATTATAAAATAAATTTAAATTAGGAGTAATGATGAAATATAATTCTGCAACACATATAAAAACATGCACTGTTTACTAATGGCTTTATACACAGATAGAAATGAGCAAGCATAATCTGAACAATGTTTTCCCATTTCTACTGACAATTTATGGACATAAAACAATTTTTTAAATTTTCTTACAGAGTTCTTACCATTCACTAAAGGCTTTTAAACAGTCATAGAGAGTAAGGCTTTCTTCTTTTCTCCACAAATCAAAAGACTGATGGTCAGCAACAGATCTAAGGTCATCAACACTCGTAGGAAGAGGTTCTTTTATTTGAACTGCTAGGCTATCACCTGGATGAAAAGTTATGTCTCCTGTTTTTGCCACTTCACAGCCAGGACATTGTTGAGCAAACAAGCAGCGTGAACAGTTCTTACCCTACATTGAAAAAATTCCATTAAACAAAGTGATTACAAGTAAATTAACATTTTACTTAATACTGACTTATAAGAAACAGTTATAATGCTATACTCTATCCACTATTCAGCTGAAGAACCATACTCAGTTACAAAGAAACACAAATAAGTAGAATCTAAACTGCCAAGTTCAGACACAAGTTTTATTAATATATGAGAAGTTTAACCTTTAACCCTTTCCAGCAAAAAGACCACTTATATCTCTTTCCAAGTGTAAAATCGAAACTCAAGATTAAAAAATTTAATAAAAAATGTAATTCTACTTCTATTTCAACCATTTTCTACTCAGGGTTGGTAGAACTGATATCTAAGATTAACATTAACCTGGTTTATTTCATGAAATAAAATGTTCAAAACATTCATTTCTGTCTTATGTCTAGGTGTCTGAACTGTAAACTTTACACTTCTAGATTGTTTAAAAAAATTTTACTGACTTATAAACATATGTTTCTTTCAAATAAATTTCATCTTTTTCAGTTAACTTAATATTAAATTCATGTTGCTATGCTTTCTCTTTCTTCAACTGTAAAATCATTGGTTGAACTCTTTGTGCCACTAAAATAGTTCTTGAGAACTTTTAAGTATTTCTTAAGTTTAAAAAGGACTACTGCCTTAAACCAAATTACTGTCAGAAAGAGAAGACTGATATTTAATACCCTGTAGTCAAGAATACAATAATACAATGTTGAAATTAGTCATGCCTTTGAAAAATTTGAAGTTATTGCAGTCAACAGGAACAAAGCAACCTGCAGGCAAAATTTTTAAATACTTACAAAAGATTAGGAGCCAAATTTTTGTTGTTGTTCCTGATGATGTTCTTTTAATACTAGATAACATTTTTGTTATATTATGACTGTTGGATAGCTACAGGAACAATCTTCTATGACAACACATCAGGTAAGAACATTTACATATAGCGAGTATGATAGACAAAATCCGTGACAGCAAAGTTTACAAGGTTCAAATTTATTGAATATGTTGTAAATTTCATTGTTTTCAAATGACACACACACAAATCCAAAAAAGTTTTATTCGGTGAAAACATATAATTAAGACTATTTTAAACTAAGGAAACAGTGATGCCATTTTGAAATGTGGGATCACTGGTTCACTGTTACATCCTTATCAGTCTTACTATGTTTACATGTTTTACAGCAAAAGGTCAACTGCTTTAATCAGCATGATAAAGTATCAATATAATTGTTTTAATAAGTACTAAAGTCATAACTGATTGGATATTTAAAATTAAACTTTCTAATACTCAACAAAAAAAGTCTAAGTAGGAATAATTTTTTTTTTAAACAATGCTCTATAACAAAATTACAAAAGCTGTGACACCAAGTTTCATGCAATTTGGTTAAGTATTTTCACTAAGAAAATGTAAAAACAAAAAGTCCAAAAGGGGTGCTTGCAGCATCTTCATATTCCAGAAAGGATTAATTGTACTATTCAGATTTTACCCTCACTTTCTCAAAATCTTAACCAATATGGTCATGATGAAAAAGCTTTTAAAGCTTACAAAAATAATAGTCAACAAACAAGACTTAACTATTGTTAAACAATTAGCAGAGATACACAAAACACATGAAATCAAACTAGTATCTGTATTGCAACAGTACTTTTTTAAATATATAATTTCTTGAATAAAACAAAAGAATTCTAATTGCATATGCAAAAATCTACAAGTCCACTTGTCTTAGGCTTAACACTAATTAAGCCTTTATTAAGCATGGCCTATATTCAATAAAGGGTTAAATCAACACTAACTTGCATACATTTCTTCCTTTAGTTTAGTTAGGAATAAACTTTACTCTACTTAATACTATCAATAAATAAACCTATAATGTTATTCTACGACCTAATGTTAGATCTTTTTAAAAATTTTGATAAGCTTTTAACATTTTGTTGTACAAAATGTCTACTAAAGTATATTTACATCTGCCATTTTTTACATCCATTGAAATGAAATGCATGCACATGCACAATTAGACAGTAAGGTGCATATGCATTTTCAAGACAGACAAAACCTAAGTATTATTATAATATATAAGCTTCAAAACTGATATCTTAGAGAAGGTCATGGCTTACCTGACCATCTACAAAAAGCAAGGATGAGGAAGAGTCAGAAAAGAAAGGCACATTTCTCTGGATATGTTTATACAAAGTATTAGCAGGTACCAGAGCTGGAAGGCTTAACACAGTTGGATGTGTAAATAACTTTTTCCTTTCCATACCATCTGTTTCTATTGTGTCCATTCGAAACACAACGGGAACAAGAACAGACCTAGAATACAAGAAAATACTTCAGTACCTTTAACATTGATCAACTTACAGTTAAGTCAAAATGGAAACATAACAAAAACTGATAGACATACCTTTGTTTAACAAATTGTAAACATATCAACAAGGGCTTTACAATTAACAAATCAGTACACATTGTTTCTTAATTTTATGGCCTGCTTAAATGTCATTCTATCTTACTATCGTAAACAGTTTTTTTTTGTCTTTCTCTGCTAACGTATTTTACATGATTTTTACATTTTTATTTTGTTGTATTGTCCTTATACTTCATCTGTGTATGAATGCAAGACAAAGAACTATGCAGATGGTCAATAAAAAAATTGTGTTGCATTAAAGAGTTTTAGTAAATATCAAAGTATTATTTATATATTTTAGTTATATATAACACTTTTAAAGCAATGAACTAAGCACTCGTTGAACATGAGTTTAGTCACACAATCGTTGGTTGGCATTTATTGGCACAAAGCAACTAGATTATCAGCACCAAACAACTGGTAAAAAAGCTGCATAGTAAATACAATAAAATGTAAAAAGAAAACATGTTAAAAATAAAATAATGTCCAAAATTAGGTAAAATCTAAATAGAAGTAAAAAAGGCCAATGGCCCATAAAAACTAAATACACAATCAAGTTGGACAGTGTCACAATTCCAATGACACTGTCCAATATAAGGGGTAAAGTCTTTGAAATTACATTTCCAAAATGGTGCCACCACTGATGTTTATAATGATGGCACAAATGTCAAATGTGGGCAATTGTGATCTGAGCATTTCAGAAGCCACACATTGGCAGACCAGTCCCATATAAAAGAACACAATGAGTAAAAAAACTGTGACCAATGCTTAGCCTAATGGGAGGAAGTTACCTTATGCAATCCTTACAGAAACTATGAGGCCAAAAAACTATAGTAGGTTTGACATGGAAAAGCTTGTTATGAAGTTGCTCACCATAAATAAACTGCCAACAGGCACAAAGCCGGGCTTTGATCACAGGACCATAGTCCATATATAGAACAGGCACGCTGTGACAGAACCAGAGCAGACAGACTTAGCTGTGGTGTCAGCAAGTCCATTCCCACGAAAATGGACATGACCAAAAATCCAGAAAAACTGGATAGAGACAAAAGACAGTGAAAAGTGGGCCAGTCATTTCTGAATAGTGACAATAACAGGGTAAGAACTTACATTAAGCAATTTCAGGCCAATAAAGAGCTAACAGAGTCAGTGTAAATAGTACAGTTAGTGTACTGCTTAGCTTCTATGTGATCGAAATGGCATACAACTCAGCAGTGAACACAGAAACTGTAGAGGGAATCCTGTGAGCTACCACCAAGTCAAAACAAACCATGGCAGAGCCCACAGAGTCACCTGATTTTGAACTATCCACAAAAACGGGAACAGAAAAACAGTTCGAAAGATGTTTGGCAAAGAGAAGACAGTACTTCCAACTGGGAGTATCCACCTTCCTCAGATAACTCAAAGTAAGGTCACAGGATGGCAGGATGGGCTGATCATCAGACTTAGCAATGTTATACAAGGACAGATCCAACTTCAGCCACTTGTGCCTGCAAATAAAGGCCAAATGGAGGAATGGCAAACCATATATTCCAAAAGAGCACAGACCACCAAGGAAGGAAGATACAATTCCAGGTGGGATGTTGTGGTAAGGATCAAAGCTTGGTAGCATACTGTAAAGAAAGTTGCAAATGGTGGAGGTGAAGAAAAGGTTTGTGGGACTCAGTGTATAGACTCTGAACTGGCAAAGTGCAGAACCCCCTTTGCCCTTCCAAATCTTGTCCCAGATAACTTTGTAACTAGTGGTGAACTTAATCCAAAATTCCTTCTGGCTTTGATGTATAACCTATCGAGTATGGGCACAACCCGCTGGAAAGCAATGCAATTGGAAAGAGTGGGATACCTGCAAAAGATATCCCAGGCCTGTTTCTGAGCCTTTCTTGCCTGCTGGAAGACAAGAGACCACCATGGACGAGGATACTGTGGAAAACATGTTGAGGATTAGGAATACAATTAACAGCTGCTTGCATTATACAATCAGTTACTGCCTCTACACACTTGTTAACCCTATCAGCACAGGTACCCTTTACATTCAAAATTTTATTAAACTACTTTTTGTTTATGTCATACCAATTAGAATAGCATATAATCTTAGCTAACAATCAATATTTTAATAGTATACAAGTTTTAAATTATTAATTCTAAAAGGAAATATCTAAAAAATCCTGAATTACCACTAGTGTAACACACATACAAGTTTTAAATTATTAATTCTAAAAGGAAATATCTAAAAAAATCCTGAATTACCACTAGTGTAACACACGACAAATTTTGTCTTAGCATGTCATCATCCCTATTTTATTCATCACCCCTCAAAAATGTACAAAATTAAATGTAAAATGCTTTCTATAAAATCAATATTGCTCAAACAGACCATAATCTTTATGGCCTTCAATTTTGTTTTGTTACAGATCTATCAAAGAAAAAATCAGACCCCTCTTGCCACACCCACCTGTCATATCCTCTCTTTCACATTTGGTTGATAGTTC